ACATTTCATAAATAACAAACTTCAAAATCTTTTCAAAAATCAGGTGTTAAAGCAATTTATTAAATATTTTTAATTATAATATAATACAATTATCTCAATTTATTAAATTTCAAATCCAAATCATTCTCTCTCTCTACACTCTATCCTCTCTCTCTCTACCCCTTCTCTCCATCGGAGGCGGTCATCTACTCCGGCGATCACTCCGATGACTGTTCCGGCGACTGTTTCGACGATCACTCCGGCTGCCGTTTCCAATGACAGTTTCGACTGCTCCAATAATCACTCCAACGCATGCTCCGATCAACCTACCCACCACATCCATCCACTCCCAATTTCCAAAAAATTTCCAGAATTTCAAGTCACAATCAGTCACAATCGGTCACAACAAGTCATAATTAACCAGTCACAAACAGTCACAATCGGTCACAACCAGTCACAATCAACACATATTTGGTCGAAATCTCATCCCATGCCACCAAATTCAAACATTGTCGTTGCAACCGCCATTACCACCACCAACAAACTGATTTCTTTAATAGGAATAAGTAATCAAGCACTTTTGCGGATCTACGAATCGAAAAGATTTTTGTTGAGGCTAACATCAAGCAAAGGCATGAGTTCATCGAGAGAATCCAGAGGTTGAAGAAGCATGTTCCCAACAACCACCACCTCTACCTCCACCTCCACATCCGGCACAGCATCACCGCATCTACCTCCACATCCAACACACCACACCTCACCACCATTGCACAACCAGAAATGCAGTGTCACCACCACAATCACATGCACCACCACACCACATCACCACCATCACTACCATATATCCACAGTCACGACTTCTACCGTATCCACAAATAGTAACTCAGCAACAGTAACATAGTAACAGCAGTCAACAAAGCCGAATCAAGATGGATTCGATCTCTGCGACTAACGGACCTTCAATTCAATGACTTCGCCAAACTGAGAAAAGGCTTGCTCGAGGGATTGGTCTGTGGTGGCTCAAGCTAGACCACCAACCAAGCATCTGTACTCAACACCCGCAGGCGGCGAAAGCGGTGAGAATGGTAGCACGACTCGTTGACCTCCGGCTAACCCATCCTTTTGGGATGGGTCGGGAATCGGAAGCTAGGACCTGGGCCAGACGCGGGGGACGGTTGATAATCAAAGCCAAGGGCGGAGGCCGGATCCTTTGAAGCCGAGAGCTCGGTGGCCTCGGGTGGCTTACCGACGGGGGACGCTCGTGAGCTAGAGAGAGAGAGAGAGAGAGAGAGAGAGTTACAAATGATATTTGGGGTTGAATATTTGGATTAAATTTTAATTTTATAATATTATTATTAATATTTAAAAGATGAATTAACCCCTGATTTGTGAAAAGAAATGTTTTAGAATTTGATATTAGAAATGTATACTTAAAATGAAGGCTATTGGGTAATTTTCCCATCTCTAAAATATCCATAAAATCCACGTCATTCGTCACTTAAAAAAAAGTCCATCCAAATCTTCAAAAGTCGAATACACCTCTGGCTCTCCAAAAACCATAATAAATAAACCTAAAATCTCCAATTTCACTTATAAGGAAACCCTTTAAATCCCAGTTGTTATGATAGCAGATAGCCCGCTACTAAAAAGTTATCACGCACGGCACAAAGACTAAGGCGATAAGAACTCCACAGTTACACACACACACGTTTCAATTTGTGTTGGGTGTTCTCTATTTGGGTTGAAAAGGGACGGAGGAGGGTAGGAGAGGAAATTTTGTATTACAGTCCACCGGCGATGGGACACTACAACCAGCAACAGCAGCACCAACTGAAGTCGAAGTCAAAATCTTCATCATTACCTGAAAGGAGAGGAGGCGGAGTCGGGTCAAGTTTGGATGACGGAGCTACTCCATCAAAAACCAACTTGGATTGGTTCTTGGAGCACACCACCCCTACCGTTGTAGCTCAGTGTTTCCCTCAGGTTGTGTATCATACACAACCTTTTTCTTGGAAAATGGGAAAGTTTTTTTATTTCCATGCAAAAGTGATTTTTTATGGGAGAAATTTGGCCAAGAAAAACTTTTCCACCCCCACCCCACGTGCCTTATTTCCTTATTTTTAGGGAAAAGCTTTTCCAGGTGGCTGTTGTCATTTTTTTTTTTTTTTTTGGTCAATGAAAAAAAATTTCATAACCAAGTGTAAAAAAAAATTCACTTTCATAGATAATTTTGATGTAAATGAAGGCCAAACGA